TCGTGGCATGAACCGGGACTAAAGCCACCCCTTCTGTCCCGGTTCAAGCCACGAACCGGGACCAATGGTTGTGGGCCAGGAGCGAGGACCATTGGTCCCGGTTCGTGGCTTGAACCAGGACAAATGGTTCCACACGGGCCGGGACCAATGCCCACGAGGCCCCGGCCGCCCCCCTGGGCTCACGAACCGGGTTTAATACCCCCCATGGGTCCCGGTTCTTGAAGAACCGGGACTAATGGGCTGGCCAGACCCAAACGTTAGCCCTGTTTTCTACTAGTGATCCACCATCCGACTTAGCATCAAGATTGGTGCAGTGATTTGCGGTATAAAGATGCGAAATATTTTGCTACACTAGTAGAAAAGAGGGCTTTGGTCGAGGCCGGGTTAGCCCACTAGTCCCGGTTCAGTCTAGAACCGGGACTAATGGGGGCATTAGTCCCGCTTCGTGCGCCCAGGGGCCACGTGGGCCATTTGTCCTGGTTCGTCTGGACCTTTTAGTCCCGGTTGGTGCCACGAACCGGGACTAAAGGGTGTGATGCCCATTAGAACCGGTTCGTGGCATCAACCGGTACTAAAGGTTAGACCTTTAGTCCCGGTTCGAGCCACCAACCGGTACTAATGGGGTTTGAGGCATTAGTACCGATTCATGGCACGATCCGGTACTAAAGGTCTCATTTTCACCCCCCCCCCCCGTGGATCGCCTTTTCAGTTTAAAAAAAATAGAAGAAAATGATGAAAATGTCAAAACAATAAAAGAAAATAAGTTTCCCATGTGATATGTGGTCTAGTTGTTGGGAAAATTTGCAAATGTGAATTTTGACTTTATTTGCAAAATCTCTCTAGAATTTAGTAAAATGGGCATAACTCTCGGATGAAAAAGTTTTTTATATGAAAAATCATCTACTCGAAAAGTTGCATCCAAATTTAACAAGGGGAACCCGTTAAACATTTTCAAAATCCTCAAAAACCTAACAGAAAAAAATTTACGGGGCTTTTAAGATCTAGAGTGAAAAAAATCGAAAAAAATTCAAACTGTGGTCAAACAATGGTCAAACTAATTATTCTAGAATATTAGTGTTACTAAATAATTATTTCAGTTATTTTGAATTTTGGTCAAATCTGGTCAAACTGTGGTCAAACAATGGTCAAACTAATTATTCAAGAAATATTAGTGTTACTAAATAATTATTGTTTTTTAAAACAATAGTTTCAAACTCAAACAGTGAAATGTGTCACTTCATGCTCAAGCAAAATTCCTGAGGGTTAATAGGATTGACATCTTACTATTGTCAGGAAAACAACAAGTGCAGACTTGGCAACGAGGGAGAATAGAACCCGAAAGTTAAGCGTGCTCAGTCTGGGGGAGTTGGAGGATGGGTGACCGTTCGGGAAGTTAGATGATTTGGAATGATGATGGGTGATTAGAGATTAGAGGATAAATTGAGTAGTGATGAGGGGTGGTGATTAGAGATTAGAGGTTAAAATAATTCAGAAATTTGAAAATAAAAAAAATTCAAAAAATTCAATTTTTTTAAAAAAAAATCACAAAATTTTCTTTAGTCCCGGTTGGTGTTACCAACCGGGACTAAAGGTGGAGCTCCACGTGGCCGCGACCTTTAGTCCCGGTTTGTGTTAGAACCGGGAGTAAAGGCCCTTACAAACCGGGACAAATGCCCTGTTTTCTACTAGTGCTAGAGTATACACTAAAATATGCCCAGACATGCACAACTCTTTGTCAGGATGGTTGTTGGCGAAGCGTACGAGAGTGGAGCGATGGGTGGGTGGTTGCACACACACTAGACTTTGTCTCCAAACTAAAGACTTGCCTTTTATTTTCATTTCTAACATTTTGAATTGCTCACAACTTTTTAACCGAAATTTCCAAAAGAGTAATAGTTTTTTACATATTTGAATTATTAAGGCCCACAAGATCTTTAAAATACAACTGCTTTGGATATATTTTTATTATTTTGAAGTATCAATCATATTTTAACTTTAGTTTTATTTCACAATGAAGCTACTTGTTTCATTGAAATTGAAATTTGAAATTTGCGAAGATGCATACTTTAGTGTGCAAAACTAATATTCCTGATTTATACGTGAAATTGAAATATGATATTGGGGAAATATATTTCAAGAACACCAGTTTGAGACATTGAAATGAGCAGATTCACAAATATCATACTTCAAAAGTATGATTTGACTAAAACAATATAATTTCAGTAATTTTAAAAACGGATTTGAAAGAATTAGTTTTACATTTTCCAGATAATCAGTTTCACGTTTTTGAAATAATTAACAAGATCCACATATTTCACACTGAAATCTGCTTCATATAAAATGATTTCTATCATTTCAAAAAACCAGTTTCACTCATTTCGTAAACTAATTTCACTCAATTCAAAAACTAATTTCACCCATTTCTTAAAAGCTGATTTAGCTCATTCTGAAAAACTGATTTCACTCGTTTATTTACTCATTTGGAAATAAATTTCACTCATTTGAAAAACTAATTTCACTCACTGTCACTCATTTCAAAAAATATTGATTTCACACAATTCAAAATAATGATATCACTCATTTAAAAAAGTGACTTCACTCATTTAAAAAATACTAATTTTATTCAATTCAAAATAGTGATTCCGCTCATTTTAAAAAACTGATTTCACTTATTTCAAATTACTGCTTTCGCTCATTTCAAAGAACTGTGGTACTGCATGGGACTCTCCCTCTCCAACTCTAAAATAGCCAATAGGGCCATAGAATATAGGAGGCAAGAGGGAGATCAGAGGTTGACTTGTAACAGCACCCCCTTGTATGGGTCATACCAAAGGAGCAGCCGAGCCTCAAGATTACTGTTAGCAAACAGAAAAATAATAAAGACTACAGTCTTTTCAAAAGTATGACACTTGTTCTTCATGCCACTTGGATTGGGTGGATTGGACGTACTGGTGATAGAAATTAAGAACAACAGTGTATATTTTGGTTGGGTGAAGTTGTGCGGTGCGAGACCGGATTGGCCGAGAAAGTTCTACGGATAAAGACGGGATGAAAGGCCCAATAGTCCTAGTACTTTGTTTTCTGCAGTTAAATATAGCACTTGTCGTGAGGAGTGAGTGATTGCTTGCAACACCTTAAGGCCTCCTTTGGTTCGTAGGAATTTTATAGAAATTTCGTAGGATAGGATTTTTATAGGAATTTTTCCTTTAGAGCCATTTGGTTCATAGAATAGATTTCTATTCCTACACAGGATTGGTTCCTATCCTTCACATTTCATAGGAAAATAAAAAAGAACCTAGACTCAATGGAAAAATTCCTTTGATGTCAATCAAATGACATCTCCTTTCCTATTCCTACTCATAGGATTTGACATACATCCCATCTCATTTCCTACAAATTTTCTATTCCTACGATAATCCTATCCTATGAACCAAAAGAGGCCTAAATCACACGCAATATGTGGCTGATCTGTTCTCTTATACCGTGCCATTGAAAAGGCTTGCTGCCATGCGTCATTTTGTTCTGAACTGGAGGCTGCGCTGACAAATTCCGTAGTCGCATCGCATGTTAACTTATTGCGGTCTCCATTCAACAAAAAGGTAAAAATGTCGAGAAAATTTATTATCTCATGCTTGTCATTATCAGGCCACGCATTCAGATAGCATATTATGTCGCATGGTCGCATCATACACTTGACTTTGGCAAGCTAACCCTCCAATAATATAAACTGTGTTGGTACTTGTACGTGTGTAGTAGCCGAATACTGCAAACAACTTTTCTCACTTCCCCACCACGTACCTATTTGCAGCCTAGCAGTAGACCTGGCCGCCAAGCTGCATAGATCCATCCTTGCGTACTCCCTGTGCCTCACGATCCTCTCCCTTGACCCGAATTATGTAGCTCTCTGCACTGCTGCGCAGGCGCAGTCGTTCGTCTACTCCGGCTTCCAGGGAGCCGATATCACCCTCGACGGCTCCGCCGTGGTCCAACCCAGCGGGCTCCTCCAGCTGACCAACAGCTCCGACATCATAGGCTACGCGTTCCACCGGGCTCCCTTGCGTTTCCGTCCCGGCGCCGGCGGCACGGTGCGATCCTTCTCGCTCTCCTTCGTCTTCGCCGTCCAGTCCGAGTTCGTCAAGGAGAGCAGCGGCGGCATGGCCTTCTTCGTGGCCCCCGGCAGGAACTTCTCCGGCGCCATGCCGGGCAGTTTCCTGGGCCTCTTCAACGCCTCGACCAACGGCCGCCCCGACAACCGCATCTTCGTGGCTGAGCTCGACACCTTTGGCAACGGGGAGTTCAAGGACATAGATAGCAACCATGTGGGCATCGACGTCAACTGGTTAGTCTCCATTGAAGCCCACACGGCTGGTTTCTATGATGACAAGACTGGTAGCTTCACAAACTTATCTCTGAATAGTGGGGATCCGATGCAACTGTGGATCGAATATGATGCACAGATCACACAGATCGTGTCGACCTTGGCTCCCCTCGGTGCTGCCAAGCCTCGCAGGCCATTGTTCACCGCCATCACCAACCTCTCCGATGTGCTGGAGGACCCGTCTTTTGTTGGCTTCTCCGGCTCATCTGGCTCACTCAGCACACACTACTCCGTGCTTGGTTGGAGCTTTGGCGTGGATGGCCCTGCCCCGGCAATCAACATCACAAATTTGCCCAAGTTGTTTCGTGGTCGTCAGGAGGCTCGATCCAAAGTCTAGCAGATCGTCCTTCCGATTGCCACCGCAGTGTTCATCGCAGCTGTAGGAACCGCCATCACCCTTCTCGTACGAAGGCATCGGAGGTACGCTGAGCTGCGAGAGGATTGGGAGGTGGAGTTCGGGCCACATCGGTTCTCGTACAAGGACCTGTACCATGCTACGGAAGGATTCAAGAACAAGAACCTCTTGGGCGAAGGAGGCTTTGGGAAAGTGTACAAAGGAGTACTCCCCGTATCCAACGTGGAGATAGCCGTGAAGAAAGTGTCCCATGAGTCAAGGCAGGGCATGAAGGAGTTCATCGCCGAGGTCGCAAGTATTGGCCGCCTTCGACACCGCTACCTAGTGCAGTTGCTTGGATATTGCCGGCGTGAACATGAGCTCATTCTGGTGTACGAGTACATGCCGAATGGTAGTCTTGATAAGTACCTGCATTGTGGAGAGGACAAGCCGACGCTTGACTGGACCCAGAGGTTTGGCATCATCAATGGGATAGCATGTGGCTTGTGGTATCTACACGAGAAATGGGAAAAAGTTGTCATTCATAGAGACATAAAAGCAAGCAATGTGCTCCTTGATGGTGAAATGAATGGACGGCTCGGTGATTTTGGCCTTGCAAGGTTATATGATCATGGTACCGATCTACAAACCACACATGTGGTTGGCACCATGGGTTACTAGCCCCAGAGTTGCTACGCTCGGGCAAGGCTTCTCCTCTTACGGATGTTTATGCTTTCGGCACATTCCTTCTTGAGGTAGCATGTGGACAGAGGCCCATTAAGCAAGACTCCAAAGACGAACACATCATGCTGGTGGATTGGGTACGCGAGCATTGCCACAATGGAACCCTCTTGCAAACTATGGACACAAGGTTCCATGGTAACTATGACAAGGACAAGGCCAGCATGGTGCTGAAGCTAGGGCTCTTGTGCTTGCATCCGTTGCCCAGTGCGAGGCCTAGCATGAAACAAGTCATGGAGTACCTCGAGGGAGAGACCGCGCTACCAGAGCTAGCACCCACACATATCAACAACGTCAACGTGATGCAAACCAGAGGATTTCCTGACCTAACGACGAGCATCGGCACATTCTCCGGTCTCTCAGGGGGGCGATGATGACCCATGTTTGTGTTGTTTAATATAATTCTGATTTATTAACGTGTACTTGCATATGAAGAACCGGTGGTGTATGTTATATATGAGTGCTTGTATGGAAAATTAATTAGTAGAGTTAGTATGATGCCCCAAGGGAATATGTAGTAATCGAGTGACCCGATCAGATGTATAAGCCCTCTGTTGTGACATGATTTGGTTATTTTCACTAGGGTCTTGGTTTGCACTTTTGTGACACTCAGAAGCCTTTTGCTAGCACAGTGTAACATTCAAGAGTCAAGACCTACTTTCAGTGTCTCACTCCAGAAATATCTTTGCCTTATTATACTTTCAGCCTGACATATTGTGGCCTAGCCCATATTGCTCTCCCTAAGAGATTATATTACTTATGGCTCTAAGCCTAGAATTAAATCTAGTCCAAGGGCCTCCGGCACAGGAGTTCCTATGCGCCGCTCGTTGAGGCAAATTGCCGAGCGGACGCACATGTGCGACTCCAGCTGGGCTGGCCCATTGGGGTAACACAGTGAAAAATCCCGAAAGAGAGTGCTCGAGGGAGGGATTGAACAAGGGACCTCTGTTGCTTACGTGCGAGCCTATCCAACGGGATAGACAAGCTTTCTCGGTTTACTATGGCGCGCGAAGCTAAAGGCAATGTAGATCCAAACATTTGGTCAAATTCCGAAAGCGAAAATTATGTTGAAAAAGTGTTTTCTTTAAAAGAGAACACTTTTCAAATTTGGGAAGAAAAATTAAAAGCTAAACCATTTTTTTGAATATGTGATCAAATTTTTGATAAACTAAACACTTCTTTAAAATCACGAACATTTTTGAATATGTGAACAACTTTTTGTTAAAGGGAACATTTTCTAAAACTCTGATTTTTTTTGGAAACACGAATATTTTTGGAAGCTGTGAACAAGTTTTGAAACAAGAACATTTTTTTAAACTCAGAACAAAATATGAAAACGAAAACATTTTTTAAATTTTCGAACATTTTTTTAAAAACATGAACAGTTTTTATGACATCAAGAACAATTTTAAAAACTGTGAAAGATTCATAAAAATCTGAAAAAGGAACACGAGAAAATAAGCAGAAAAAACGAAAAGAGAAGATGAACATTTTTAAATTCCAATTGGATACGTGAACATTTTTTAAATCTGAAAAAATTGGAAACTCCTGAACTAAATTGGAAAAATAAAACATTTTTAAAAATTTGTGAACATTTTTTGAAACTCACAAACAAAATTAGAAGCAGACACATTTTTGAAAATTGTGCACAAATTTTGAAAAGGAAACAATTTTTGAAACTTCCGAACAAAAGCGGAAAACACAAACATTTTTTCTAAATTTGAGAATGAGTTTTGAAACAGAGACATTTTTTCAAACTCGTGAACAAAATTTGAAAACCTGACTATTTTTTTAAAATTATGAACAATATTTGAAAGGTGAACATTTTTTCTAAATATGCTAACATTTTTATAAAAAATGGAGAATTGTTTTATGAATTTGTGAACAAAAGATAATAACAGGAACTTTTTTTGAACTTATGAACATTTTCTGAATTTTTAAACAAAATTTGAAATTCTCAAGAACAAGAAAGAGAAGAAAAAGGAATTACAAAGAAATAGAAAAATGAAGTAAAGAAATAGAAATACACGAAAAGAAAAGTTTTTCTTTAAAACGCAAACATTTTCTGAAACTGCAGAAGCAATTTGAAAACGTGAATAAATTTTGGAAACACAAACATTTTTTTAAAAACAAGAATTTTTTGAAACTCCCAAATTTTTGTAAATGCAAACTTTTTTATAAATATGTGAAGAATTTTCAAGAAACATGAATATTTTTTGAAAAAATGAAAGAAAAAGAAACAGAAAAGGAGAGAAAATAAAAAATTAAATAGGAAAAAAAAGAAATTGAGACAACAAAAAACCCGATTCAGGAACCTCCTAGAAAGTTCCCAAACCCAGAAAAAACCGGTTCAGGAACCTCTAGGAATGTTACCAAAACCGGGACGACAGAACCGGTGGGTGGGCCAGCCCAGATCATCCCTCGCTCGTGAACCTCAGTGTGAAAGCTCAACAACTTGACGCGACGTGCTCACATAGGATTTTCCCTCTGATACAGCTGCCCGGCGGGCACGCGTGCCGCCGCGAATGTGAACGAATTGTCGTAGTTGCCCCTCGACTACGGATGTCGGCTCCTGTTCCTCACTTGGTGTTCACGAACATGTGCAGGCGGACCAGCTCGTCCGGGTCGTACCGCTGCGCAGCGGTGCAACAACGCCACATGAAGGCGCCGATCAGGTCAAACTACGAGGCGGCAGGATGTAGCACCGGCGGGACCTGAGACCGGCCATGGGCGAACTCCGTCAGGGCGTCAAGAACTGCATGATTCCATAGCCGTCGATGATGCAGTGACGAAGCCTCCGCGCACGTCAGCCGCGTTACTTGAAAAAAGAGTAAATGACGGTAGAAATTTGTCGCAGAATCTAAGGGCAAGAATAATGGTGCCATATGGATACAGATGCCCATGAGAAAAAGTAGTTTGAGGCATTGATATTTTTTCTGCACAACGCAAGCTACTATCAGTGGGCCTCATCAAGAAATAGAAAATAGAAACTTTAATACTCGATGAGGCCCACTGATAGTAGCTTGCCTTGTGGAGAAAAAAATATCAATTACTCCTCATCACAAAATATCACCTTCAACTTTTTCAGCTTTTTACACCGAAACATACTTCTTCTCCCCAGGCACTACACACGGGGCATCACCATGAGGCTATGCATTGGCCATGCCCTAATACTCCCTCCGACCCATATTAATTGTCGCGGACTTAGTATAAAGTTAGTATAACTTTGTACCAAATCCATGTCAACTAATTTGGTCCGGAGGGTCTATGTGCAGATAAGTGGGCGGAAACACTAAGTAATTAAAAATATTTTTCTTTCTTTCTAAAAATGTCTCGTATCTATTACTCCCTTTGTCCGGATTAGTTGTCGTTTAAATGGATGTATAAGCATTGAAATATGATACATCAGTTTGAGCGATAACTCATTCCAGACGGAGAAAGTATAAAGATTTATCAAGAGTACATAGCACCCCAAACATCATAAAAAATTACATCGAGATCTTTGGACACCGAATGACCACTGACGCTGCCAGAACGAGCCGTCGAAGTGTTGTCGTCGCCACTCCCATGCTGGAGCCGTCCTAACCTTGTCGATGGCAATCAGGAAGTCTTCGGGCACTTGCCCTAAGAACCAGCGCCCTGGAGCAACAGTCGTGGTTGTTGAACCCTTGAATCGATTCAAAGAACTTGGCACCAAATCTCATTGCCATGTACGGATGACGAGAAACCCTAATGTCGCAGCCTCGAGGAGCTAGCAGGAATGTAGGCCAGAGCTCCGTTTAATCCGTCTTGATGAACGAACTTGAGGAGGATAGGAGCCCAAAGGACTGACTCGAAGAAGAAGTGTCACCCTGGAAGGACTAAAATCTCTAACCTATCTACTAGCCGGAGTCAAGACACCAGGATTACCCTTCACGTTGTCAGTTACGAGAACGGCTGCGACAGAGAGAATCCTGAAGGAAATATGCCCTAGAGGCAATAATAAAGTTGTTATTTGTATTTCCTTATATCATTATAAATGTTTATTATTCATGCTAGAATTGTATTAACCAGAAACTTAGTACATGTGTGAATACATAGACAAAACAAGGTGTCCCTAGTATGCCTCTACTTTACTAGCTCATTGATCAAAGATGGTTATGTTTCCTGGCCATAGACATGTGTTGTCATTTGATGAACGGGATCACATCATTAGAGAATGATGTGATGGACAAGACCATCCGTTAGCTTAGCATAATGATCGTCACAGTTTTATTGCTACTGCTTTCTTCATGACTTATACATGTTCCTCTGACTATGAGATTATGCAACTCCCGAATACCGGAGGAACACCTTGTGTGCTATCAAACATCACAACGTAACTGGGTGATTATAAAAATGCTCTACAGGTGTCTCCTAAGGTGTTTGTTGGGTTGGCATAGATCAAGATTAGGATTTGTCACTCCGTGTATCGGAGAGGTATCTCTGGGCCCTCTTGGTAATGCTCATCACTATAAGCCTTGCAAGCAATGTGACTAATGAGTTAGTTGTGAGATGAAGCATTACGGAACGAGTAAAGAGACTTTCCAGTAATGAGATTGAACTAGGTATGATGATGTCGACGATTGAATCTCGGGCAAGTAACATACCGATGACAAAGGGAACAACGTATGTTGTTATGCGGTTTGACCGATAAAGATCTTCGTAGAATATGTAGGATCCAATATGAGCATCCAGGTTCAGCTATTGGTTATTGGTAGGAGATGTGTCTCGATCATGTCTACATAGTTCTCAAACCCGTAGGGTCCGCACGCTTAACGTTCGATGATGATTTGTATTGTGAGTTATGTGTTTTTGATGATCGAAGTTTTTTCAGAGTCCCGGATGAGATCACGGACGTGACGAGGAGTCTTGAAATGGTCGAGACATAAAGATTGATATATTGGAAGGCTATGTTTGGACACCGGAAAGGTTTCGGATGAGTTCAGGCATTTTCCGGAGTACCGGGAGGTTACGGGAACCTCCCGGGGAGTTGATGGGCCTTAATGGGCTTTAGGGGAAAGGAGAGAAGGGCTTCAAGGGGTGGCCACGCGCCCCCCATGGGTTGGTCCGAATTGGACTAGGAGGGGGCAGCGCCCCCCTCCCCTTCCTTCTCCCCTCTTCCTCCTTCCCTTCTTCTCCTAGTTGGAAAAGGAAAGGGGGCGCGAATCCTACTTGGACCGGGAGTCCAAGTAGGACTCCCCCCTTGGCGCGCCCCCTCTAGGGCCGGCCTCCACCTTTATGCACGGGGGCAGGAGGGCACCCTAGGAACACCAAGTTTTGCCTTAGCCGTGTGCGGTGCCCCCCTCCACAGTTACACACCTCGATCATATCGCCGTAGTGCTTAGGTGAAGCC